GGTCCCGGCCCGGGGGACACGGGGCAGCGCGGGGACGGGGCAGCCGGGCAGGCGCTCCCGGAGCCTCCGCTCGGTCAATTCCCCCCGGGCAGACCCGGAGGCGCCGGCGGGGCTCGGGGCTCTGCCGCTCCCCCCGCACCCCCCGCAAGGCGAGAGAAGCCTCTGCTGGGGCCTCCGGGGCCCCGGGCTCAGGCAGGAGGGGCTTTCATTGCTCGCTGTCTCCTTACTCCTCCATTTTTTCAGTGCCCAACCTGCAGAGTTTTGATGGAATAAAGTCCTTCCCTCCAACTTGCAAAAACACCACTGCAGAGAATAAAGGTCTTCTCCGGGAAAACAAGGTCTTTCCATCACGCTCTGGAGAAGGTGGTGGATGAGCAGCAGTGATCAAAGAGCAGTGGCTGCTGGGTGTCCCAGCAGGGAAAGTACCGAGTAATTGCAGGATCAGGCCCGCAGTGCTGGAGCAGTTTTGCAGCCGAGGTGCCACCCTGGAGCTCCTAGGAGTGTGCTGCATTTTGCTTATGTCTTTATTTCCTTTAAGTGGCAGTTGCCCCAGGAAAAGCCCAGGGGAGATTCAACACAGTCAACACGGTCATTTCGTAAGGCGGGAGTCTGATCTCACCTGCCAGGCGGGGGAGTTTCAGCAGGGTAGTGCTGGGGTGATGAGGGCTGGGCTGGTGGCTGCTGGGCAAGGCGAGGACACCTTGGCAGCACAAAGCACACCTTGGGCAGGAGCAGGTGGCTTTTAGGACAGCATCAGTCATCACAGGGATGCACATGCTGCCAGGAAAGGGGCACCATGTGCACCCCCCGCAGGGGGCTGGTGGCCCTGAAGTCAGTTCCTGACAGTCAGTTTAGAGACCAGTTTGCTGAGTGCAAAGCACAGCAGTGGGAAGGTAGGGAGGGGCACCCGTGGGTCCCCAGAGCCCCTGCAGAGGAGGCAGCTCTTGTCTGCACAGTAAGAGATGGTTCTTGCAGATGAAGTAGTGTGACAATGCACATGCAAAGGAGACAGAGGAGTGGGGGTCCCAACGGGTGTGTGTTCCCCTTCCCCAGCTGGGGCCTGGGAAGTGGAGCAGCCAAACAAGAACTAAAACCAGTGAGGGGCAACTGGGAGCTGCCAAACGTCTGGGCCCTCGAGCTTCACAGGCTGTGCGAGCTATGGGGGCTTTGAGGGCAGCATCAGGGACACGTTTTTGTGTCCCTGTCTGCCACGCAGCAGCTGCGGGTCCAGGGAGTCCCCAGCCCTGATCGTGGCTCCTGTCCCACCGCAGCCTCCACTGCCCCCTCCAGAGGAGTCTTAGGAAGAGGGGACATTTGCCTGTGTGCCAGTGGAGGGTACATCTTGTCATCCCTCATTTGTTACTTCTCTGTTCCAGGCACAGCCCTGATGGGGGAGAGCAGGACAGGCTCCAGGCTGGCACCAGAACTGGTACCAAGCCCCCTCCCAAGAGCTCTGGTATCCAAGCACTGAGCTCTGTGCCCGGGGCAAGGAGCTCCCAGCTGGGCACCTTGCACAGAGCAGCTTTCCACAAGGAAAGGGAAACTAGCAGCCTAGCTGGAAACATTCTGGAAATAAAGGTAAGGAGAAAACCAACAATTACAGTGAGAAAAAGATTGAGAAAAAAGTCATCTAAATGTGGTGATGGGATCCCTGTGCTTCCATGGCAGAGCTGGGGTCCTGCAGGCATCCTGCCTGAGGATGTTCTTCCAGTTTCCCTATCCCCATCCCTGTTCCTGTGCCTGTCCCCCCACTGGCAGGTGTCCCACGGGGCCATGGGAAGGAGCAGTGCTTGCAAATGACAGGTCCCATAGCTTTGACATCGGGGGAAAAAACGTTCTGAATCAGTTTTAAAAGTATCTAAAAACTAGTTTAATCTCATTTTCCACAGTGTGGCCTGAACCTAACTTAAAAATGTGAAAATGCTGCTCTGCAGCACAGTGCTTTTATGGTTGGTGAACTGGAGAGAGAAAGTGAGCTGGAATCACTCTGATCTGCTTGAAATTGATCTGGAGCTGCTCTCCCTGTCCTGGAGCAGCATCCTGCCCCTGCTGGTGCTGGCAAGCACCCTGTGCCCTGCAGGAGCACTTGCAGGTTGGGTGCTTCAGTGGAAATAAATCCAAGGAGGACAATAAGTGCATCATAACTCCTGCAAAACTGTGAACAAAGATAAAGCAGCATCAAAATTGGCCTCTCAATATCTTTCCCTCTCCTCAGTTACGAACGTGGAGCTTTTAGTCCACACGGGCTCCTCAACCTGTAAATGTGTCTGAACGTTGCCAGCAGGGAAAGAAAGCTAAAATCCAGCCTCAGGAAACAATATAAAACGAAATAAGAGCCTCTGCCAGCAAGGTCAGGTTGATGAGCAGCTGGCAAAGATCTGCATGACAAACAGGACCCCCGGGTGGGGTGGTGGGTCTGCCCAGCGCCCGGGCTCTGCCCCGTCATCATCTCCAGTTTTTATTGGATTTCTTAAAAGGCGAAAATATTTACTAGCTTGCCTCGCTGGAGTTCAGTGTATTTTGCGGGTGCTGGTGTGTAAAGCAGGGCCAGCCCGAGGCGGGCGGGCTTTGCTCGCAGCCAGCAGAGGGCTGGGCTGAACGGCCCCGGTTCGCGTTGTACCGGGAGCTGCCGTGACTAAGCAGAGGCTCAGAGTGCCCCGAGTCCCTCACAGCCCTGCCCCAAAGCCAGAGAGCATCTGGTGCCATGTGAGCTCCTTCTGTGACCAGGCACTGGTGGGTCGCAGCCTCAGGAGGTCTGGGATGTCCAAGTCCCTGGACAAGTGATCCTTGGAGAACAAAAGGCTTCCACAGGAGAGCAGAGCCTGCCCTCAAATCCTGGAGGAAGCAGCTGGAGCTTCTCCTTTCCAAAGCACTGTCCCATCAGCACCTCATGGTGTTGGGCTGGGTCTAACAGCCCCTGCAATGGGGTGTGCAATCAACATCACCCTCTCTGTGCATTACAGAGTGAGACATCATAAAGTCTATTGGTTTTGTACTTTCATCAAACTGTATATTCTACTCAGGAGATTTTGCAGATCTGGCCAATAAGTGAAGGAATCAGTATTACCTTTTTTTTTCTTCTGGAACAATAGGAAGGAGGCAGTTGTTCCTGCTCCCCGAGAGGCCTGTGCACCCTTCAGCTTCCTTTGATATTCTATCTACAAATAACTTCATGTTAATCTAGTTTCTGCACTGCTGAGTATTGCTCATTATTTAAATATTGCTGTATTATTTCAGAAAACTCTTTCCTCTAGGATGCTGAGTTATACGCAGCATTAATCTTTAATTCTGTTCTCCTACAGTTTAAATCTGAAAAATGTTGTAAGCAGCTGACTTGGGTTTGTGTTGAAATCCTGCCTGGGGATATTAAGATTTAGTAACACAAATTCTCACCTTAAAATAGCAGCACAAAATGTTCTATTTACTCACAATATGAATGTAAAATATGCAGCATCCCTCACATGAGCAGTGGAAACATACTGATAGTATCTGAAAGACAAAGGAATCTGGTGGGAAGCCCCACGGGTTGTCCTTCCTCCACTGCACGGTGTTCCTGCTCCTGGGAAAGGGGCTGCCTGTTCCAGGTCCTCACCTCCTGCCCCTCCAACATGGCATGCTCCTTGTTTTTAAGAAAACCTGCTTTAAGCCCCCACACTGCTTGAACAGTAGACACTGTCAGCTGGAATCCTGCCTGGCAGCAGCTCCTGTGTGTACTGCTTGGTCCATCTAGTGTTGGCAGAGGTTTCAGCCGAGCCTGTTTGCACACCTAACACCAAGGTACTAAAAAGTTGCCTGGTCAGTTATTGCACCATCTGCAGGGCTGGGGCCAGTGCCTGGGTCCCACGGGCACAGCCCAGTCCAGCAGGTCTGGGGCACTTCACCTTGGGTGGCCAGAAGGGACCCCAGGAGGGATGTGACAAAAACATTCACCACTTTTGGAAACACAAAGCACAAACCTCCCTGTTGGGCCTGGTCTGAAGCTGAGAGGCTTCAGGGTTGGATGAGATGACCTTTAAAGTCTTCTCTGATTCTGCCGTTTGGCTGCCCTGCAGAACATCCACAGTCGTGCCACCACATAACTCCCCAGTACTTCTCTTCAACAGTATGAGCACAGTTGGGGCAGCACAAACCCTCCCTCGCAGCAGAGCTGCTCTGATGCCTTTTCTCCCCCCTGCAGACACAGGATGAACCTGAGGAAGTACCTCATCCGGGCGCTGCACCGCCTGCAGAAGGGCCCTGGCTACACCTACAAGGAGCTGCTGGTCTGGTACTGTGACAACACCAACACCCACGGCCCCAAGCGCATCATCAAAGAGGGGCCGAAGAAGAAACTGATCTGGTTCTTCCTAACGCTGCTCTTCGCATCCCTGGTCTTCTGGCAGTGGGGCATCCTCATCAACACCTACCTCTCCTATAACGTCACCTCCTCTCTCTCCATTGGCTTTAAGACCATGAAGTTCCCAGCAGTCACGGTCTGCAACGCCAACCCTTTCAAGTAAGTTTCCCTCTGCCTGATGTACCCCGTGGTGCACCAGGGCCTCGGCAGGTCATTCCCACCTGGATGCCACATTAGGAGCATGGATGGAAATGATTCCTTGACTCACCAAGTGGCACAAAAAACCCAAGGAGAACCACACAAAGGGGAATGGCTCAGGTCCAGGGGTGCATGCATGGACCTCGGTGTCCTCACTGGATCAGTTAATCTTGCCTCCCTGCAAACTTTCTCTGGCTCAGGGAAAACATGAAGTTCAACTAATTTGTCACAACCAGATTGGTCTCCTGATCTTTCCCCACAATCCCTTCCTCTCTGTGAAGGCCCCACTTATAGCTCACGTTCCCAGCATTAAGAGCTGGTCAAACAGCAGGAGCTGCAGTGACACCTCTCCATCCTTATTTCAAAGCAGTTCCAAGCTGGGTTTTGGTAGAGTTGTTTTAAATTTCTGTCCAAGCAATAGTGTAGCCCAAGGCAAGATGCTCTCAATACACAGGAGTGACTTCAGGTTGTTTCTCTCTGCTGGGTAGAGATGTTTTGACCAATACACAGGAGTGACTTCGGGTTGTTTCTCTCTGCTGGGTAGAGATGTTTTGTGTAAACTCTAGTGAGTTACTGAAGCCCAGCCAGTTTGGTTCTGCACTGGCAGGTTCACCACCACAGGGTGTGTTTATCCTCCCAGGCTGCTGGGATGCCCATGTCCCAGCTGGCTGGGTCTGCACAGAGGTTCCCATCCTCCAGTAAATTTTCAGCCAATGATCTCAGGTCCCCAGGAAGATCAAAGCTTGTGGAGCTGCAGACAAGCTGCTCCATATCCCCACATCTTCACAGCACCTGGCATCTGCTCCTTGTCCTACAGATACTCGGAGGTGAAGCATCTGCTGAAAGAGCTGGACAGGCTGATCGAAGCAGCGCTGGAGAGGATCCTGCAGCCCACGCCAGGGAACAGCAGCGAGAAGAGCTCAACCCCACCACTTGACCTGGAGCTCTGGCACCAGATACCCCTGGTCCTCATTGATGAGCACGACAAAGACAACCCCATCATTCTGGACATCTTTGAGAGCAACCAGGCTGCTAACCAAACCTCCATGGGTAATCAGACCTCCATGGGCAATGAAACAGCTGGTGGAAACCAAACTGCTGTGGGCAACCAGACCTCCATGGGCAATGAAACAGCTGATGGTAACCAAACTGCTGTGGGCAACCAGACCTCCAGGGGCAATGAAACAGCACCAGGCAACACCATGTCAGAAGAAAAGAAGTACAAGTTGGCAGTGAAGCTGGTGAGTGGGGTCCCAGGAGAGGCAGTGGGGAGGGACGAGGCTGGGGCACCAGGCAGGGAGGCTGCAGCCTGGAGATCCCAGTCTGCTCCCACCAGCCACTGCCTTGGGAATCTGGTTCCCTCAGTACAGGGCATGATGTCCGTGGGCACTTTCCAAGTGTTATTCCAAGGCTCCAGGGATGTTTGCTTGTGTTTTTGAGGAAAGCAACATAGAGATATTTTAAGATATTAGTAAAATTTCAGAGGGAGCCTGATCCCCTGCAGGTTACACAGCCAGACACCCTGCTGGAGCTGCTGAAATTCCACACGTGGGGCCTGCAGCAGGATGATACCTTCAATATACACAGGGTCAATGTGCACAGAGTCACACCTGCTCTCTGTCCCCAGTGCAGCCACCAGGGCTCTGACAACTGCACCTACAGGAACTTCACCAGCGCAGCGCAGGCGGTGACTGAGTGGTACATCCTGCAGTCCACCAGCATCCTCTCCAAAGTCCCTCTGCAGGAGAGGATCAGGATGGGCTACCAGGCTGAGGACATGATCCTGGCGTGTCTCTATGGGGCTGAACCCTGCAACTACAAGTAGGTGGTGACCGAGCTCCCTGCCCTGTTCTGTTATGCCAGGAAGGGTACAGGGCACTAAAGACACGCCAGCCTTTTTGTTTTCAGTTAATAAAGAGATTTCTGCAGCTCCTTAACTCTTAACATTTCCCAGAGGGGTTCTGGATGTGATCCTGGCTGCAACAGGTTATTTTGGGACAGAGCCGGGTTGAGCTTTAGTTCTGGATGGGCCATTTTGTTCATGATGTGTGGAGACTTAACAGCACCCATGGGACCTTCCCAGGTGTGCAGTGATAACCAGGTGCTGAGGCAGCAGTGCAGCCCCCAGCCACAGCCCCCCTCCTTTTACACAAGGCATGAGAAATGCATTTTAGCTGTAATTGTTTCTTAACACCACATTTCTATTTTCACTTCTGAGAACTGCAAGTGTGCTGCAGCACCCTGGCTGCAAGGAGTCCTGCCCCTTCTGCCAAGGGGGCAACAAGAGTAATTACCCAAGAATAAGCTGTAACACCAGCTGCCAAGCCCTGGCACCACCAGATGCATTATTTTATAACCCGTTAGTCCTCCCCAAGAGTCACAGTGTTATGTGCTTGATTCTTCCAGGAATTTCACCCAAATTTATCACCCAGACCATGGTAACTGCTACATCTTCAACTGGGGCATGGACGAAGAGGCTTTGAATTCTTCCAACCCCGGCGCCGAGTTTGGTAAGAGCGATCCCTGCTCAGAGGAAGGGGCTGAGGGAGCAGCAGTGCTGCCAGGCCCTCTGCCTTGGCCACCTCTGTCACACATACTGGGGTTATTACCAGTGTGCCTCTGGAGACCTACAGCAGGGAGGAATGGTTTTCCAGAAGGGGATAAGCCCAGAAAGGGAAATGTGCCACATAGGAACAAGCCGCTACAGATGTTACACACAGCTGCAGTGCAACATCTGGACAGCCAAGGCAGTGGCTGGATGTTCCTATCTGGTGCCTTCACCGTGGTGGCACAGATGCACACCTAAGGCTGCTGGGACAGCCAGACCTGGCCCTTCCCCAGGGAACAGAGGCTTCCGTGCACAGCCACCAGAAAACTCACTCAGTGTTTTTTCCAAAGCCTCACATTTTGCTGCAATTCTTGATCTCGGTGTCTGGTGTCCCAGGGCTGAAGTTAATTCTGGACATCAGCCAGCAAGACTACATCCCTTACCTGTCCTCAGCTGCCGGGGCCCGGCTCATGCTGCACCAGCAGAAGAGCTTCCCCTTCCTCAAGGATCAGGGCATCTACGCCATGGCTGGGACAGAAACCTCCATCGGGGTGCTGGTGGTATGTGTGGCATTCCTCTAGAGCAGGTTGTCTGAGCATAATGTTATCTGATGGGACTGCAACCAAGTCTGTTTTAAGTCTTGGCTGAACTGGCTCAAACCAAAAGAGTCAAGCTACACTCTGGCTGTGGCCCGAACCCTTTATGGAGGATTTTATGTAACTGTCCTGGCAAAGCGCTTTCCTGAAGCCAAAATACTGAGCCCAGGTCATTGTTCCCTCTTCCTTCAGTGTGTCAGGGGGTGCCTTGCTAAAACATGCTGCCCCTGAACACCCTCCCCTGCCTCCAGCCACCCAGGGCAACGCAGCACCTCCCCCAGCTCCGCCAGGCTTTGAGGTTTTGTCAAAGCCACTAAGGAACACAGAAATTAGTCTCAATAAGTAGGCACTGGGGGCCTGGGGAGGAACAGTCTGGTGTTTCCCTCTTCTTCCAGGACGAACTGGAGCGGATGGGCTACCCCTACAGTGACTGCACCATGAACGGCTCCGACGTCCCTGTTAAAAACCTCTACAGCCAGTACAACACTTCCTATTCCATACAGGTAAAACATGGTTTTGAATCAAACAAGGCTGTTTAGGAAAAACCATGAGAGTAGTTAAAACCCTTGACCATCGTGCAGGAAGACTGGCACATCAGCAGTGCTAAAGCAGAAAGCACAAGCTGAACACGGGAACCTTCTCCTCTGGCAATAACCAGCACTCCAGTCTGAACATCCTGTAGCCCCAGGTTCAGGAAATGATCCCAGTGGGTCTCTTGGAAGTGGCTCTGACATTTCTTGCAGGAGCAAGACTTAATGATGCAGGTATTAAAACCTGCATCAAAAGATAAGGAACATGGCTGCAGGAGTGATTTCTCTCCTGAACACTTCGACTCTTTAATCCTTTTCTCTTTAAGGGAATTCAGTCATTCCTCACCTTCAGAGGTGTGGGACATGAAGACAGACCTTGCCTTTCCTTCACTCTTCAATTGGGATGAGAAAGTTGAGCACTTGTCAACTTTCCATCTGCAGAAAAATATAATGTAAAAATTAAGCACTGGTTAATCTGTAACAGGCTATTACACACAGGAGAAGCACTTCTGGAGGGTGAGATCTGGCAATAAGGAAAACATCAAAACCGTTTGGGGGGTTATTTACAAAAGCCTAAAGAATACACCTGGAGGAGTGGGAGGGCTTTGGTCTGCAGGGGTTTTGATATTTCTGCCTTTCTATAATTGCAACAATTGGACCACTCCCCCGTACACTTTAAGGCGCTTGTATAATTTTTAAGCAAATACTTAACATTATTGCATTATTACTTGTAAGTTGCTAAATGCTGACGGGGGTTCTGTGTCCACGTAACTGACGTTACTTCAGAGACCTCTCAGCAAAACCAGACTTTTCCATCACCCTGATTGCAGTGAACTCTGTCAGCATCTTGTGTCCCACAGAAAATCTCTGGTTGTTCCACCTAGCTGGAGCTGTTAAATTTAATTATCTGTTCATAGACTTTGTTATTGCTTTGTGCACCGTTTCATCCAGAATCCCACTCCAATCTGGGGTGATTAACTTCATGCCTCGGTGAGCTAACGGCAGCGCTGCAGTGGGGCTTGCTGGGGCTGTGCTGCAGCCCTGCCAGGGAGAGCAGCAGATGCACAGATAAGATCATTCTGATTTCTAAAACCTGCTCTTTGTGCTGAAGTATTTTTAGAGTCCTGGCTTTAAAGTGGAAACCAGACCTGTGTCAGTGTGTCCTGTAGAGCCTGGAGACAACAGCAGTGTCCCTGGGTGTAGAAGAACATTTTTAATCCTTTTTGGAAACTCTGTATGACTCCTGTGAAGCCCTGAATTGTGGGCACTCCTGGCCGGGGCAGGGTCCAGCAGGGAGGCAGGTGAGAGCTCAGCCCCTCTGAGCAGCTCCTCTTCCCTTTCCCCAGGCCTGCCTGCGCTCCTGTTTCCAAAACCACATGACTGAGACCTGTGGATGTGGCCATTACATGTTTCCTTTACCTGAAGGGGTCAGTTACTGCAATAACGAAGACAACCCAGGCTGGGGTAAGCACACAAATGGCATGGAAGAGTTTAGAGACAAACTCTCTGATCCTTTGCTGAGTTTCTCAAGAAGACAGCAAACTTGTGCAGCAGGCTCAGGCTGAAATACTTACTGTATTAAATGCAATTGATAACCACCCAGTACATGGGGTCTTTATCTAACAGATGCTTGGTTTTGTTTTCACCAAACAGCCTATTGCTACTCATCACTGAGATCCAGTATAAGACACAGACAGATTTGCATTGATTCCTGTAAGGAAACATGCAAGTAAGTACTCAAGCCCCTCGTGCAGCTGGAAAGGTGGGAGGGGCCCTGCATCCCGCCCCCCATCAGTTCTGACCTCCCAAAATGGCAGCAAATCCTGAGGGACTGCTGGTCTTCATGAGAACTGAAGCTCCAGTGACTTCAGAAGTGGGGAAACGTTTGTACCCATGTTCTCCTTTCCTCTCTCCAGTGACACACAGTACAAGATGACCATCTCCATGGCAGACTGGCCATCAGAAGCTTCGGAGGTAGCACCAATTCCTTGTTTTGAAACATTCATTAATAATTACCAGCTCTTAGCCACATGAATCACTCAGTATTTTCAGAACTAATGTCCAGGTAGCAAGTGCCTCTTTGCTAAATTACACATTTCCAATGTGCAAACACTAGTGCCAGGGCATGGGACAGGAGGTGGGACTCCCCCATGGCAGCACCTCCTCCCTGGGTCCTGAACCAGGTCCTGCAGTTCCCCTGGGTTCCTGCCCTAGCAGGCACCCAGAGAGGATGCTTCTGCTCTGTTCTGAATATATGTTGTTTTCCTAGGACTGGATTTTCCATATTCTGTCTTATGAAAGGGATATGTCAACAAATGTGACTCTGGACAGGTAAGTAAAAGGAACAACCACTTTATCTTCTCTGCTGAGCCTGTTAACATCAGATTAACATGAACCTTGGCAATGGGCCAGAGCACACGTTTGCTAATGCAGAAGGACAGCGAGATTTGGTGCATGATTGCCTGGAAGATACATAAAGCAAATCTGAAACTCTCTTTGTGCATCTCCTCTGCTTTCCATAGTGACAAACTGGGTCACACAAACTCAAATGTCCAGTTCACTTACAATGACATTAACTGCAGCACCTCCAACCAGTCACTGCTGCAGGTTCTGAAGCTCCGAGCCCCCGGGGTCCAGCTCCTGATTGGAATGTTGGTCCCTTCACACTCTGAATCTGCCAACAGCAGCAGCACAGGGGGATGCACCAAAATGAGGGTAACGTGAGTTACCCTTGGAGAACCTAAACATGAATTAGGGGTAAAAGAAGAGGGGTTTTTTCCCCCAAGGGAGAAGAAGAATCCACAGAAGCAGGAAAAGTTTTTGCAGGTATTGTAACACAGTGGGTCTTGTGGCAGCTGCTCTGTGGGGCAATGGGAACAGGAGCAGGACACCAGAGGGGAACAGCCCCCCTGTACCAGCCAGGGCCACTGGGAAAAAACAACACAAATGGCCCCAAAGTGGCTTCCAGCTGCTCTGGTGCCTCTTCAGGAGAAATTGGAGAACTGTGTCTCCTCCCTGTGCAGCCAGGGACACGTTTGACCTTCTCCCACGGGCCCAAAGGAGGTTTCAGTGGCCACTGTGGACCCCTTGGCTGGGCTGTGCAGCCCCCCAGGCAGGGGTTGGAGTGGAGGGCAGAATGGCCACAGCCTGGCTCTGCACTGAGCTGCTGCTTCTCCCTTGCAGAAATGGGATCATCAAGCTGAACATTTACTTCCAGGAGTACAACTACCGCACCATCTCAGAGTCTGCTGCCACCACGGTGAGTGCCCACCCTGCCTCCCGCCCGGGGCCGCAGCGGGCGCTCACTGAACCCAGCCACCCAGGCGGGCCTCAGCTCCTCGGGCCCTTCAGCCACGGCTAGAGATGCCTCTCACCCGGCTGCCAACTCCCTTGGTGCTGCTGCTGCTGCCTCCCGTGGCCAGCAGGGCCCAGGGACAGGGGCCATCAGCAGCACATGGGTGGTTGGTGGGGACTGAGCAGGGTCCAGCCCCTCTGCTGACTCTTCTCTCCTCCCTGCAGATCGTTTGGCTGCTGTCGAGCCTGGGGGGCCAGTTTGGGTTCTGGATGGGGGGCTCAGTGCTGTGCCTCATCGAGTTTGGGGAGATCATCATCGACTCGCTGTGGATCACCATCATCAACGTCATCAGCTGGTGCAAAGGCCTGAAGCAGAAGCGGGCGCAGGCGCGATATCCCGACACGCCCCCGACGGTGTCGGAGCTGGTGGAGGCTCACACCAACCTGGGCTTCCAGCACGAGGACACGGGGACCTGCCCCAGGGAGGAGGTGCTGCCCCCCGAGCCCGGCACCCCCCCGCCCAACTACGACTCCCTGCGTGTCCAGCCCCTCGACATCCTCAGTCCCGACAGCGACGCAGACCCCGAGTGAGCAGCACAGCCCTGGGCCAGCTGCCCCTGCTGAGCCATCTCCTGCTCCCCACCACAACCAAGAAGGAACTGAAAAGCCCTGGCTGTGCTCCCCCCCAGTTTAACGTGCTCACTGTGAAGATGCTCTGTCTAATAAACCCTGTAACTGCGCTCACAGAGTCAGCGTCAGGCTCTGCCTTTCTGTAGAGACCTTGTATAAACACTGCTGCTGTATCATCACCAGTCACCGCTCCTTTGTAACGGGTTTTGCTCACAGGTGGGTGGGAAGCACTTCTGAGTGAGGAGAGAGGGGATGGGGCAGCAGGGAGCAGGACCACGGCTGCCCAGCGAGACACAAGTACCGCTGACTTCTCAGGCTGCAGCACTTCCACTCCTAAATTGCTACAAAGGAAACAAAAATAAATAAAACAATCCTTTTGCTGCCAGAGCCCACACGGCTGCTCAGGCACAGCTGTCAGACACACTCCAGCCTCCACAAAGACTTGGGAGCAGGGAGGAAGCATCAGGCCTTCTCACAGCACTGCCCGGGAAGAAGCTAATTAACTTAAAAGTTGGCTTTAAGTTCCCTGTCGGCAGCAGGTGCAGGTCAGCACTGGCAGGAGGGTGATGGTTGTGGCTGGCACGAAGGGGAGGTGCTGTGATCGCCCAGGTGTGGCTGGGGGGTTTGGTGGTCCCTGGGGAGCCAGGCTCAGCTCTGCAGTGAGCTCACCTGGCCTTCAGCTTTCCCAGGAGCCCATCACATCCCACCAGGACCTGCTTCCCTGAAGTACTTCTGCAAACCTTCAAGAGGAAACAGGACCGTGTGGTTAAGTCATGCGACCAGAACACCAGGTTCTGGGCAGGGCGCCCAGCGCGGGGGCAGCCACGGCCGGGGGGTTCATGCTCCTTCTGCACCTCCAGCTCCCCAGGCACACGGGGCTCAGGTGAGGAGCAGAGTGTGCCCAGTGTCCTTCCATCTCCCCACGGTGAGGGGGAAAGCCGTGGGTAACCAGGGACCACCGGCCCAGGCGCTGCGGGCAGCGCTGACACCGCCCCACGCTGGGAGCACTCGAGCTCAGAACTCACTGAAATAGTCAAACCCTCAGTCACTGCTGTGTTGCTGCTCTAATATTGCTGCAGCAGCTACCAAGGCAATAATGCACGGTATATCTGCAGTCTTCCTTTTAAAAGTCTTGATGAATGAATTTTTAAATGTTGTGATTAGCTGCAAAAGTGATGGCAACTTAGTTTTCATTTTCTATTCCTTCTGATATCTGAATTTTACAGACATCTTCCAATTTCACTTGGTGATCGTAAGAACAAGAAGCTTAACTACTTTTTAAAAATTAAATCCAGATGCTTATATAATTGTAAACAATGAAGCAGTTTTGGAAATTTCATTCTCAGCTCATTTGGGTTTTCTGCTGTTGAGAAAGAGGGGTGAGGGTCAGGAGTTTGGTGCGTGCCGGTGCCGTGCTCCTTCACATCCTCCGGGGTTTCAGCCTGGTGACTGGAGTGCCACCTCCCCTCCCTCAGCGTGTGCAGGACACCACACCCTACAGCAGATTTAGAGACCTTGCAGAGGTTTCACTGTTGCTTCTTACTCAGCTCCTCAGCAACCCACCGAGCTGAGGTTTTTGATTCCAACAGTGCCCAGAATCCACACGCAGGGAAAACTCTGCACCTGGAGCATGTGCTGAGCAGCCCTTCCTCTGGTTCTCCCTCCTGGCAGCCCCAGGGACCTCCTGAGCTGCAGCCCGTGTTTGTTTTAGCTGCCACAGCTTGAAAGTCAAGAGATAAGGAGGTTGTTTAGAAACTGACGCTTTGCCACTTGGCAGAACAGTTTCATTTGCAGAACTTCCTACTCCATCCACTGGAAACAACTCATGCTTTACAGGCCTTCTAGCACCTGGAATCAATTCCTCCAGAAGTTTTGCCTCAGAAGCAATCAATTATTATTTTTTTTAATCCATTAAACAAACAACAGACTTGTTACTCTACAGTGGGAGGAAGTGATGACACCTTCATCCTTCAGCACCAGATCCCTTAGGAACTGAACAGTGAAGGAAGGACCCTGCACATGGATTCATCCCTCACCACTGGCCTTCCCAGGCTGGCAAGCAACCTGTACCCACCTCTGATCTTGGTTGGGATGAGGGTAGAAAAACTGGGATAATTTACAGACCTGCAGCCAAAGAATACCTGAATTAAATTACATAAGGAATAACAATCCTGATTCAGGGAAAATCTTCCTAACAAGCCCAAGGTTGCCCCCAGCCCCTCATCTGTCAGCCAGGTCTCATTTGCAGGAGTGCAGGACCAGCAGCCCCCAAACACTGCTCTGTGGTGAAACCACCCAACCCTGGGCACAGCCAGAGCTCTTCAAGCTTGTAAATCCAACCGGAGCAGGGATGGGGCAGATGGAAGGCAGTCTGGACGCTTGTAAAGACAGGAATCCAGCTCTTGCAAGTTGTCCTGGGCACTTCCTGCCTGACTCCTCACTCCCCCTCTCCCTGCAGGGATGGTTCTCTCCATGAGCACCCAAAACCCATGGTACAGGCACCCTAACCAAACGGGAGAGACCCCCTGAAGTGACGATGCTTCATCCCACATGGCAGCTGAGTGAGAAACAAGCACAGACACCCTCCTGGTTCAGAGCTTGGTGTACACATGGAAGCCAGTTCTGATCTTGACAAGGACCTCCTAAGGATTCTGCAGCAGTGAAAAAACATCACTCCCTGCAGAAGATAACCAGAGCAATCTGCTTCAGGAAAGCCAAGAACAAGAACTTGGGCATCCAAGTTCATTCCCATTCTCTCACCAACAGCCAACATCTCTCCCAAGGAGTTCCACCGTGTGAGAACCCAAGTAGCCCTTCAAACGTAAGACACTGCAGACATCAATGCTTTTCTCTATGGCAAAGCAATCCCCCCCCAGCTCCTTGTGCTGCTGAA